TTAAGGGGAACTAGAAAAGATTTTTATACTGAAGGGAGCTCTCATGATGGAATTATGGTGAGACTGACAGGAACTGAACAAAGGATAAATTATTTGGGGGATACTGGAGAGATGGCATCAATAATAGTAAAGGAAGCTGAGACTGGGATGATATCAGGTAAGCTGCTGTTCAAAGCAGCAACCCAGACTGCCTACTATTTCGCTCTATTGCTCTGGGCGCCTGCCACTTTCTTACTTTCCCCTACCATTACTCACTAGGGAAGAAGTTGGAACAGTAACCTTGGGACAGCTCAGCTATGCAGTCTGTTCAGGACACCCAACACAGGCACACAAGTATTATCGCTGCTCAATAACATTTGTTTCTCTTCTGCTAAGGGAACTGTGGGGACAGGGCAAGCGCCTCATCTAAGTACAGCCTACCCTCAGATCAGCGTTTCTCAGTCTGAGGAGCACTGCCTATGTGGAGATGGCAAAAGTATTCAGAGAAGGGGATAAAGGGATTTCAGAATAACAAACAAAATAGTGTTAGTCTAAAGCACTTCAGTTTGCTTGGCCAAAGAATAGTGAGTGAGTGGTTGTAATTACTGATTAAAAGCACACTGTAATAATTGTTAATACTAACTATAACACCGTATGTTGCCTTTAACACCTGGCAGAAGCTCAGATTTTCTAAAGTACCAAAATATTTACATTTGCAACTAGTAACTAAGTACAGCTAGTTCCAACCCCACATGCTCTGAATAAACAGTGAACATAAATCAACACATATTTCTTCACCAGCAGTGCAAGCCGCACAGTATTTCCATTTGTCTAGCTATAGGAAAGCTAGAGGTAATTTAATGGGTAGATAGACAAGCCAAACAAGGGGTTTGCATTCAAAAGGCTCAAGAAATGCTTTCTTAAGTCATTAATTCAGTTAATTTTTGCCTGAAGTAACGCAGTTAAATGAACTGGGCAGGTAGGAATCTTTTTATTTATTCCTCTCATTTCTTTAAAATCACATTTTGGAGGTGATAGGATTGTATATGGTAACTTGCAACAGTAGAAAGAAATTACCTAACCCTCCCAGTAGCCACACAACCACTAGGCTAAAGAAGGCAATAGGAAAGGGAAATGGGGATTGGGATGGAATTACAGCACCCTTTTCAATAGTACCATATAGACTGGTAAGATTAAGGATAACAAAAATGTTCTCTCAATTAAGTTGCGCTTCTATCACTTCCCTCACACCAACCCCAAAAATACAGCAGTCAGTACTCCTGAATACTGAGCACATGCTGTAGGTTCTTGCAAGACAAAGTCAAAAACAATTCAGGAAAAATATATTCTGGACATATTTCAGCACTCCACTGCAGTACATCTATTCTGAAGGGAAAAAACAGATGATAAACTGGTTGCTAGTGTACGATATCAGCCTGCAGCTACCAGAAAATTTCAAGATTTAAAAAGTGCCTATTTAAATAAGTATCTTCACACAGAATTTCCACTTTTTTTTAAAAAATAACATTCATAAAGCAGAGAAATTATTTGCTTCCACAAATTAAACATCTGCCAATGGAAATAAACACTTACGCACTATTATTCTGTATTCAATTTATTAAAGTTACTTAGCTACCTCTTTCCTTGCTTGCTTCGTTCAATTAACTCCATTTTCAGATTTTTATAGTCCTTTTTATATCTTTGCAACATGCTTTCTCTTTCCATTCCTGTTTTCCGGCTTTGATCTAGTTTATCTTCTGCATCTCTAGCAAATAAACAAAGCATAATTAAAAAATAGGAACTTTTTTGTAAGGAAACTAGATTTTTGTTGTTCTTTTCTGCACATGATGCTTGAGAAGCACTAGTCAAACACGCTGCAGCTCTCAAAACCCGGTTTGGAACACCCACTGTCTCCAGACTCCCCAGGAGTATGTCTGCAGTCTGGAGTGGTATCCAAACCTCATCAAGAGGCATCAGGTGTCGTGACTGCTAAGGACTCAGACAGTTGACTTTGTGTCATGAGATCTGAACATAGAAATCATCATTTTTCTGGCAATAGGTATAACTGGTCAGGATACATATGTGGGAAACAATACTAAAATATAAATTAAATATAAGTATTTTTACTTGCTTTGTGAAGACAGACTATTGAGATATTAATTAAATATTATATAGCATGAGGTTGTAAGATAAACTGACAGCCAGGTATGTTTTCCTGACAGCCTCTGGACACTGTTTACCTTAGCTTTATTTGGCATTTGCCTTGATCAATCTATTAATGAAGAAAGAATTATTTACACCACATGCTGCACAGTCGTGTTTGAAAATATGTATGCTTGTTTACCACAGAAGATATGCAGGTATGTAGCATACAATCACTCTAGTCAGTTATAAGGGCACATTCATGTTTAGCGTACATTATAAACTGGCTTCTTTTACCAGCCTTTATTATTTTGTCTCCATTTCCTGAAGTACGTTCTCCATATCTAAGATATCAGTACAAAATAAAACACCTCCTTCCTCCTATATATGCCTCCGAAATGAAAGTTTCAAGCCCCAGATTACATTACCCACACAGTACCAGTAATCATGTCATCCTGAAAAAGAGATTGGACTAGCAAGCAGACCACAATAAAATGTTGATTTAAAAGTACACTTATTACCTCAGAATTTTATCTTGAGCTGAAACTTCTGCTTCCAAGTTTACAATCTGTTCTTTTAACTTCGGAATGCTGACTAAACTTGTACCTAAAGTCGACTCAAGATAAGAAATCTGAAATACAAACATATTTGGGTTACACTAACACTTGCATACATACCTTCAGGGGGGATGCACAAGAAAAATCTGCTTACTGAATGACACAGTGCACTTAACCTTATTGTAAAAGATGCTTGTTCATCTACACAAACTGACCTCCAATTTTCTGCTCATTTAATATCCTTCCAGTTCCCTAGCACCATTCCAGGGTGGTATGCTGTCTAGCAGAGTAATTTCTTTATAACTTGATCTCGTCTCTTGCTTTTCCCCAAAGGTTTATATTCTGCTATTTGTTCTTTCCTTGTCAGACAGTCAAACGTTTTATTTATCTACTTATTTGTACTGTCTTGGAGATAACATTTCTCACACAAAAAGCATTAAGCATAGCTATGTTTTAATGTTACATGTAAACCAAATATAAGAATATAGTTGTCCTGAAAAAAAACTGTACATGCAAGTGTATATTAAATCAGTAAAGATTTATTAGATACAATATTTCCTTCTAACTCACCTTCACTTTTTCAAAATAGCAATATTAATCTAACCTAAAAGGTCAACATTTTTCATTTCCTAGACAAAATGACTACTGTGCCATTATTATTCACATTAATATTAATGTAGCTCAAACACATGAACACATAGTTATTGAACTATTTTCTTACATGTTGTATTCTTCATTCTGTGACTTACTGGCTTTAGATTAAACTTTGGAACATGAATAGATAGAATTCATAATTAATATAGTTGTTTTGCTCACAGAGAAATAGATTCCAAACTATTCTGTTCCAAGATTGATTCTGAATATTATAAAGTTTAATATTTTATTTTTTCAAAGCTTAAATATGAAATTTAGATAGATTAAGACAAGACAAAAAAATAGCATGTTCTGTCTGGAATTACACACTCAAAAGCCATGGTCACTGAGGCGGTTTTTGGGTTTGGGTTTTTTTTTTTTGATGAATACGCTAAAGATACATACTCTTGTTTTTGACTGCATCAATTCAAAGTTCATTGCTTCCACTCTGTTCTTTAGGTAGTGGTTCTGAGAAGCCAAAGATGCATTTTGCTCATGAAGGGCATTCAGCTTCTCCTTAAGACGTTCATTTTCTTCCACAGTTTTACCAGAAGTTGTGGATACTGAGTAAGACTAGACATATAAAAAGGGGTTTTTATATATACATATTTACACACACACACTTATATATGCATACATAAGCAATATATACATCAATGGAAACTCTGCAGAACAAATGTATTTAAATCATGTTTGAGAGTGCTCCGTTGATATAATTTCCCAATGCTAGAGTATATCAACTCCAAGCCCTAAAGCAAAACAATATTCATAAATATAGCAAAGAAGAGAAAACAAAAGTAATAAAAATAAGTAATGAAATGCAATATTTACTTCAGATTTTCTTTGAAAATCCTGGCAAGATGTTTTACCAGCATTTTTCTTACAGTTGGAAAAGCCTTGATAGTTGCAATTGGGCTGAACAAGGTCCTCCACAGTGAAGTCTACAGCCTCATCGAAGCAGCGGCCATAATGTTCACTTGTACTAGTGCTAGGAGGGAGAGTAAAAAGTTGCTACACCATTTATTCTTTATTATTTTTAAATTGCTCATAGAGAGTATTCATAAGAAAAACACAAAAGGACCTACTTGCAATAATCCATTACACTGAATAGGACAGATTTACACTACAAGAGACAGGCTGTTGTCATTCCCAAACACACTCATACCTGGAAAGCTCTTCCTCCACAGTTTGTAGGTTTTTTTCAGTTCTCCTCAGCTGATTCTGTAATGACTGTAAATTTGCGAGCAGGTCTTCATCAGCAGCACTTTCAGAGCAAGTCCGCATACTATATTCCATTGGTACCACACATATGGCTAAAATAATATTTAATATTAAAACATTTTAAAATGCAAATACTATTTGCGAAGATACTTCTAAAGATACTGAAATAAGGCAAATAGAAAAAAAGGAAAGGAGGGAAAAAAAAAGAAAAATACAAAAAAGGAAATACTGAATTTCTAAATGTAAACATACATTTTGCACGCTAACTCTTCCCACATCCACTAGATAAAAATTACTCTGTACAAATTGCCTTTTTTAAGAAAAAGGGTTCTCTATGTGTTCATGAAGTACGAGACGTTTCATGAATTGCCACTTATGAAAACTGGAAAAACTTGCTATACATTAGTTGCCAAAAATTTCTTATACAATGCATCTCAGTTACTTCAGAAATCCCATGCAACTGGCAGGATGCCTAAAAAGGTCAGAGCATACACACAACGCTGTCCAATGACCAGCGAAATTTTAAAAATCAGAGCAGCGAGGACTTGGCAGCACAGAGGACGCAAGAAACTAAGCTGGAGGGGGAGGGGGGGCGGGGAGAGAAGGCAGCCTTCACCACAGCAAATAAGACTTTGCAGACCGGGCTTAAGACATCTCGATAGGAAACGGTCAGATGATTCAGAGAAACCAATTCTCCCGGGCCAGGCGCTGCCGCCGCCCGCCCTTCTCCAGCAGCACCGGGGTCCCTCCGCCGCCCGGCTGTGTAGGCCGGAGTTGACCGGCACCGGGCCCGGCTGTGATCCCTCCTCAGCCTTCCCGCCTCTCCGCCCGCCTCTGGGTGGACGGGAAGCAGCGAGCGGCGCG